ACCGAACCGATAGCAGTATGGCTGCTTGGGCTGCTGGAACCGGCAGCGACCCATGCCTGCCACACCCCCGAACCGGTTCCCCGGTTTCTTCTGCCATCACGGGCATGTTTCTGCGCATGCGTAGAACAGTTTTCAGTCAACTGCACATGCGCAGCAATAATCCCTGCTGCGCTCTGAATTGTGGTCAAGGAGAATTAAATCAGAGAGTTGCCAATCTGAGCCTTTCTCTTTCTTAAAGTTTGCTTTATTAAGAGGAAACAATTTCCACTCGGCTAAACAATTATGAAGAGGCAGGCAAAGGTGATAGATTCTGGTTGCAAATTGATCATAATCGTATGTGATGCCATTCCAACGGCAAGATTTCCTCTTGAGAAATGATGCGCCCAGGGGAATTCGACCACTCTTGCTTCTATGCCACCTTGTGTTTGCGTGCCAGTGTAACCAGATGTGTTGTGTTTTGATCCTGCAGATTGACACCCTATGAGTGGTACAGCCCCCACCCTTGTTCCCAAGGGCAATGCAATCTACTGGTAAATCAGTATTCTCTGGGCAACAGCCTGTGGTTTCCTGTCGGTGGATTCATGCAACAGGGATCCACAATTGCTCCACGAGCTTTGTCCACCCGCTGTGTCAGTGGAGTCTGGTAAGAAAATGAAAAACATGTTTCTTCTTGAGGTGGTTCCATAGAATCAGTGGTGGGTTGCAGGCGGTACGCCCTGGTACGGGCTTACCGGATCATGCCCGGAGCACCAAGTACTGTTCCAGTACAGTGCTCCGGAGGACCCACCCACCCGCCCGCACTCCTTACCTTTCTTTAAACTCTTCGGTGCTTCCACGCATGCGCATGGCGCATACAGTGCCTGTGCAGTGCTCCACCAAGCAGCTGGAGCATCACAGAGGCTCACGGAGGTGTTGCTGGATGGTAAGATGCACACACACGCTGTGCATGCATGTGTGCATACTTTGCGCGTTCATGTGGAGGACGCCGGGCTCCTTTTCAACCGAACAGTTTGCAACAGTATCCGGAACCCGCCATTGCATAGAATGTTATCGACATGGATTATTGGGGGTGAGAGCTTTGGTAACGTCAATCAACCAATCAGGATAGAGCTGGAAGGAGACCCTGTTGTCAGGGTTCCGAGCGATGCCCTAATTAAATCATAAGCCTCGAGCCAAGATTCAAAAGAAATCCAGTTAGTTATTAGGAGTTTCATGTCGGCACGTTCCCAAGTGAAGCCAGCTCTGACCCCACATAATTTATTGCCCCAATCATGACCCTGTTTGCCCCACCGCCATGTGTCATCCATCACATTCACCAATGGGGCAATTTCAAGGGTTGTAGAGATCACTCCCCTCCAGCCGCTGTAAGTAACCCTGGGATACAGCCGTGAGAGAGATAAGTCTGGAATGTGCATCTGTTTATTGCTGCCGTGCTGTTTCACCGGTTTCCCACCCGCCCCCTTTTCCTATGGCAACTCAAGAGCTGGCCAGGGATGCTTTGCCAGTTGACACCTGTACCATTTCAGACAAGTGACGGTCTAGTCTTTTCCTTAAAAACCTCCAGTGATGGAGCATCCACAACTTATGGTAGCAAGCAGTTCCACTGGTAAATTGTTTTCACAGTTAGGAAGTTTCTCCTTAATTCCAGATTGCTTCTCTCCTTGATTAGTTTCCATCCACTGTTTCTTGTCCTGTCCTCAGGTTCTTTGGAGAATAGCTTGACTCCCTCTTCTTTGTGGCAGCCTCTCAAACACTGGAATACTGCTGTCATATCACCTCTTAGTCCCCTTTTATTGAAAGCCGCCCTGAGTCTCTTTTGAGAGTGGGCGGCATACAAAATTTAATAAATAAATAAATAAATTCTTCACTTTAGACTAGCCAAACCTAAATAATAGTGAAGACATCCGATAGAATAGCAAATGAAACACTTCGTGGCACTCTGGGTCCAAATATTCCCATGTTAATACATTTGGAGAAGCTTTATATACTCACGTTTCCCCATGATTAAGTGAACCCATTTTCCGTAATCCTTCAAGATTTTTTAAATTAAATTCTAAACAAAGCTATTAGTTCACCACGCTAGCATGAAATCCGATGATAAATTTGGTATCCCCCAGAGTTTGTTGGCATTAATGTTTTTGCTCTTAGTTGCAGATTGAATCTTGGGAATCTATGAGCAGCTGAGGGTAAAAAAAAAGGAGATAGATTAAAAACAGGTTTTCCTTCTAAGAAAAAAACCACGAAATTTCTTTTATGACATGGTTTTCTGGCTCTTAGCTAGTGTACAATATCTCTCCGTTCCAGTAGTTATGTAAAACTTAATCTCCACAACCGTTTGTTCTGTAATGCCCTTGGGTTTTGTTGATAATAAAAAAAAGCCAGAAACACCCTGAAACTTTAATAACAAAATAGTTTATGCGCAATAATAATTTGGGACCCAACGATCCCACTGATAGAAGAAACAAGTCTTGCACTGCTGCCTTATAGAGTAGAATAGAATAACAAAGTTGGAAAGGACCTTGNGGTGCACCCACAATCGCTCGCGCGGCTGCATTCTGGAGTAGCTGAAGTCTCTGAATGCTCTTCAAGGGCAGCCCCATGTAGAGCACGTTGGAGTAATCATGACACCTCAATCCTTCTTTTCTCTAGACTAGCCAAACTCAAATCCTCCAACCATTCTTCATACATTTTAGTCTCCGGGCCTTCATTTTAGTTGCTCTTCTTTGGGCTTTTTCCAGCGTCTCAACCAAGTTTTGTAACGTATTGAGTAATTAAAAGGGTAAATATTAATTTAGCACGAGAAGGCTTGAAAATTCATTACAATAGTCAAGAGCCGCTTTGAGGAGCAGCAGATGAAAACAGCGCTCAGCGCCCATCTGTGCTTCTTCTCTTCATATTCCAGCACGGGAAACGGCAGCTGACGTTGTGTTTAATCTACGGTTTCCATCAAAAACTTCTTAACAAATAACTGCAGGAATATTTCCAGCCTGTTCAGCTGGCATTTCTCTCTCTTTTTGTAAAAAAAAAAAAGTTTTGTTTTCATTGAATAAACATTAAAATATTGGACATAGAGTGAGCTTTCTGGCTTTGTCAGTTCCATACATATTTTAACATAACAACAAATACAGTTTCTACTTATCGTACATAGCTATTTTGATCTTATCGACATATCCCTTATCCTCCTTTATATATTTATCTATCTACCTCAAAATATTCTGCTTCGACTCCTTTTCCTCATTTCCGAGCATTGATACACTTTGTTCCAAATTTCATAATATTCTGTCTCATCTCTGTTTTTGATTTCTAGTGTCAGACTGTCCATTTCTGCACAGATCAAAATAGCAATAGCAATAGCAGTCAGACTTATATACCGCTTCATAGGGCTTTCAGCCATCTCTAAGCGGTTTACAGAGTCACATATGCTAAAAAGATTCTAAAGCCAAGTTGCATCCCCAACGCTGCGGAGATGGATTCTCATTCATTTTTGCTAACCTCGTGGGAGGGAGGGAGGGGCCACCTGTGAAAAAACATTTTGTACAAGTTTTCTTTATACGAAGTTGCTCCACCGGCATTTCTCCACCTCCCATCTCCTCCCCGTTGAGATGACATTTGGCTTCCATCTTCTATCACATCTTTTCTCAGTCCCCAGACCCGGCTTGCCTGTAAATCCCCCCCTCCCCGTTACACACACACACACACACACACACAAAAACACACACAGAGAGGCTTCATCACAAATAACTGCAAATGGCAGGTTCAAATGGGCCTGTCATTTGCCTCAATTTCATGTGTTGCAATTTAATCAAGTGTGGCTTTCTGACACAGGGACTCTAATAGGAGGGCCGGCTGTTGACCTGCTGTTAAAATCACAGCTTTCTTCCTCTCCCCTTCCGTTCAAACTAATGGAATATTGTGGAGTGGGGTCATTAAATAAGGCCATGGGACGCTGGGGTTTTGGCACACAAGGTCAGCTGGGAGAGGAGGGTAGGGCAGGTGAGACGGCTGCTGCGTTTTCCAAACAGTGAGTCTTTCTGTGGCCTTTCTAAGATGCTCACGTTGGTTCGGTGGGGCGTGGCTAGACGGGGGAGGGCATGTGAGTGAATGGGCGTGGCCCACTTGACATCACTCACGCATACTCGGTCACCTGCCCCACCCCCGTCACCAAGCCATGCCCACCGAAATGGTGGTGAAAAGTTTCAACACAGCTAAGGGAACAGTAAGAAGCAGGGCTGGAGGAAGGCAAAAATGCCGCTGTTTTTGAAAAAAAAAAAAATGGGTGGAAAAAATGGGCTGTTTTTTTGCAAAATTGGAGGCCTTTTTTCCTTCCCCCAGCCCTGCTGAAGCCTGCAGAGGGCTTCTGGAGGCTGGGGGGGAGGCAAAAATGCCTTTGTTTTGCGAAAAACGGCCCATCTCTGGCATCTCTCTGGGACTGGCATTCACACATCATTAAAAAAGGGATGGGAAATTTAAAAAATTCCAATGAAGATTGTTCTGCGCATGTGCAGAACAGAAAATAAAGATGGCAGCGCTCAGGATGGAAATGCTACAGTCACGTGTCCGGCCGAGTTACTACCAGAAAGGTCAGCAATTCAGTGGTTCGAATCCCTAGCGCCGCGTAACGGAGTGAGCTCCCGTTACTTGTCCCAGCTTTTGCCAACCTAGCAGTTCGAAAGCACATTAAGAAATGCAAGTAGAAAAAACAGGGACCACCTTTGGTGGGAAGGTAAGAGTGTTCCGTGCACCTTTGGTGTTGAGTCATGCCGTCCACATGACCACGGAGACGTCTTCGGACAGCGCTGNCATGTGGGAAACAACTGTCCTTGTGTTTAGTTGTTCTGGTGTGCAGTTGTTTTGAGGGTAGAAGTTGAAACAATTTATGCCCAGGATATGAGTGGTGTGAGATAGATAAATAAATAATAAAGCCCACTTCTGGCTCTGTAGGAAGTCCTATCCGGTCGATCGCGGCGTTAGACTTCTCTCTGTTCTCTTGTTTTGTCAAGAACTCGCGGTACCAGACGTATCAGAGAATGTGGAATTACATGTATTCTAAGCAGCCGAGCGTCTTTGTTAAAAGCACGGAAGAAGGCATCGCCCGCGTGCTCAACTCCAACTATGCTTTCCTGCTGGAGTCCACCATGAACGAGTATTACCGCCAGCGCAATTGCAACCTCACCCAGGTCGGGGGCCTTCTGGACACCAAGGGCTACGGGATTGGCATGCCAGTCGGTAGGCAGCGAAGTGAAAACTCTAGCTATTCTGAGCTGTCTGCAGAGGTTCCGGGCACGAATAGATCCTTACAGACCCATAAAACATCAGAAGGCCCGTCACGTTTTTGGGAGCTCCGCCCCCAAAAAGAACTCGGTCAAGTTATTCCTTAGCCACACTGAATTGTCCGATGGCTTTGCTTGCTGCTTCTTTGAACCTCAGAAATAACCCATATATGAGAAACTGAACCTACTTAGTCTTATATGCACAGGTTTTATTGTAGGAAGAGGGACAAATAGGAACACATTCAGAGCAACGTAACACTGAGAATGTATTATGGAAAATGCAATTTTTTTTTTTCATAATACAAAAGACTTCTAAGTTTTGGCAATAAATGAATTAAGACTTTCGGGAAATGTAGAAAATATCTTCGTTCTTCTGGAATGTGCTACAGCTTCAGAGTGTACTGTATTTTTCATAGTATAAGACGCACTTCCCCCCCACACACACAAAAGAGGGTGTACATTTGGGTGCATCTTATACACTGAATGTAGTACCGCTCACCTGCCGGGCCCCATCCTTTGACCTCTGCCTCCCAGCAATTTGCCTCCTTGCAGCAAACAGCCTGTTTCAGTTTCAGCTTCAGCACAACTTGATTAGCACAAGCAGCTGATTGTTGGTTGGATCGGCCTCCCAACCATCAGCTGTTTCAGGCTGCAGGGATTGCCATTGCCTATTGCCACCTCCACGCACCCTGTTTTTGGCCTCCGTTTGCCCCATTTCCCACCCATTCCAATCCCTACCACCCGCCCATTCCAATCCCTAGCACAATGGATGGAAAATGGCATGCGCAGAGGCTGAAAATGGGTGCGTCGAGGCGGCAATAAGCTATGGCAACCCCTGCAGCCTGAAACAGCTGATGGCCAGGAGGCCAATCCAATCGACAATCAGCTACTTGTGCTAATCAGGCTGTGCTGAAATTGAAACTGAAATTGAAACATGCTGTTTGCTGCAAGGAGGTAAATTGCTGGGAGGCAGAAGCAGATTTCTTTTCTTGTTTTCCTCCCCAAAAGCTAGGTGTGTCTTATACTCTGCAGCGTCTTATACTCCGGAAAATATGGTATATCAAGAGAGTTTTAGAACAACTTCTGCCATTTTAACTTTAAAGACTCAGGGAAGAATAGATTTTTAAAGACTTTATTTTACCTGGCATTCAAGATTTCCTGCAATGTTTAGCAAAAAGAAATGGAAAACGGAACAACACACACCCCCTCCCTCAGGCAGAACAAATATCAAGAGCTGTTTATTCTTTCAGTCTCTCATTTGCTCCCTTGGCTTTACAGGTTCTCTTTTCCGTGATGAGTTTGACATGGCCATTCTCCAGCTGCAGGAGACCAACCGTCTGGAAATCCTGAAGCGGAAATGGTGGGAGGGCGGACAGTGTCCAAAAGAAGAAGATCACCGAGCCAAGGGTAAATAACTAGTACCTTCTCTGAAATGTATTTGAATATACTGTAAGTAGCTCAGGTTGGTAGGGACGCGGTGGCTCAGTGGCTAAGACACTGAGCTTGTCGATCAGAAAGGTCGGCAGTTCGGCGGTTCGAATCCCTAGCACCGTGTAACGGAGTGAGCTCCCGTTACTTGTTCCAATTTCTGCCAACCTAACAGTTCGAAAGCACATAAAAAATGCAAGCAGAAAAATAGGAACCACCTTTGGTGGGAAGGGAACAGCGTTCCATGAATTGCCACCAGAACAATAAAAAAAAAAAATCTGACATCTACTTATTTATTAATTGTGCTTGTGGGATAATTTTAATTCCCAATATGTCCAGAGTTTTAAATGCACCAGTCCCACTTATTTCCAAAATCCACTTATACTTTGAGTACCACTATACAGTATCTTAAAAGGGATGTGGTGGCTCAGTGGCTAAGATGCTGGGCTTGTTGATCAGAAGGTCGGCAGGTCAGCGGTTCGAATCCCTAGTGCCACGTAATGGGATGAGCTCCCATGACTTGTCCCAGCTTCTGCCAACCTAGCAGTTCAAAAGCACGAAAAACAATGCAAGTAGAAAAATAGGAACCACCTTTGGTGGGAAGGAAACAGCGTTCTGTGCACCTTCAATGTTGAGTCATGCTGGCCACATGA